GGAGAGCAGTTCAAAGGTTGACAATGTTTTGACACACTCTTGCATCTAGGGATTTCATCCCTTTGTTGGTAGGACACCCCCATCCCTTTCCGAGTGAATGTTGGAACCAACCCGTGACTAGATGTTCATGTCTCGAATTCTCTCTCTTGTACAAAGAAAAGACGGAATGTGGAAGTTTTCGGCGAAGGCCATGTGGGTGGGGAATTCAATGCGAACATTTTTTTGTCGCTTAGTCGCTTTTACAAACTATGGCACGCACATGTTCGTGTGTGTTACGCCGAAAGGCGGTTATACCGGCTATACAGATACAGATACAGATTAAGAGTTGTTTATTTTTAGCTTCTTGGCTTTATATAGTGTGAAACAACTTAAATTTTCAACTAGAAGAGTGAACCAAATACTATTACAGTGGTTGCAATATTTGTGTTGGTATATATCCACTCTTTATGATCCGTATTTTAGAGTCGTATTCTTTTTTTCATTTTACCGAGTTTAGCTTGCAATGCAACATTTAAAATGTTTGTTATGGACTTGAGAGGACAAATTTATTATGTTGTTTTCGTCCTGAAACTATGGAAAACATAAACAACGAAGCCTCGCATATTTTAACACCTGAATTTGTTGTTGTAACCTTTACAGTTCGTGACTAAGGTTACAGTGTATACATGTCTGGATTTCACCCCTTCTATGTATATATTTCGCATGTTTGTTTTCAAAAAGTGTACCCCTAAATTTCCGTAAGATTCCAACCTTTTACCAGATTACAAATCTAATTCAAAATCAGGAAAGTGAAAAAAAGACACACCGTTTATAGCATAATGTTACATCATTATTCTACGCTGTTTGTTGAAACCACACTTTTCCTAATGTCTTTTAAGTTTAAAGAAAACTCTAATTATTATGTCAGTTTGGTACGATACTATCATAGCTGTCAAACAGTATTGTAAGTGGACAAGGTAAGTGTAGTGGTTGTCTACAATTTTGTGTAATCAAAGGTGTTAGGGTCAGGACCCTATAATGCGCTCTGTTGGACATTAGAACAGTCTACTGATAGTCAGACAAGTAAGAGATCTACCTGCACAGACTCACATCTTCATTTCTGATCATACTAGAACCTTTTTTTTCTACAACGTTGGCTACAGGAGTTTCGAATAAACCGGCATTCGCTTATAGCGAAAAAAAAACAGTGGTTACTATGTAAAATCAAACCTTACCAAAATGACAGTGTGTCAAAATGTGCGTGTTTTGTAATGAAACATTTTGAAACATGGAGTTTGATTTTCATAGTTTCTTTTAATATTATTAAGGATGGAGGTGTATTGTCATCATAAAGTATAATTCTGAAAATGGTGTCACAGAAAAAATACGCCTTTTAAGATAAGTCGGACGTTTCTTTCAATCTTTTTGAGAAAATAACGTCAATTTTTGTTGTCTCAGCCCCATATGTTCTTAAAAAATAGTGTGTTGTTTAATATTTTAGCTACAACAAAACATTTCTGTCTAGTTTGTACTGATGAGAAGCCACTATGGTGTTATGTAGGATAAACTAAAAACAACGCAAGGTGCTTACACGGAATCAGATGGCAGAAAAGCGCCGTCTAGTCCGTGGATTTAACACTGCACCCGGGAAAGCCCTTTACAATGCCGGATTATAAATTTTGCCGCAATCTGATAAAGGAAAAGACTGCTTGAAAATTTACTGATTACAGTCGGTGGTAACGCAGTTACAGGAAGTTATTCCTTCCATCATAAGACTGTTATGATGGACGATTTTGGCGCAGGGATTTTATAGACTTCCACATGTGCGAACCGTGTGTGAAAAACACGTGGCGCAGAGGGTACAACTTTCTCCACATTTTACCTTCTATTTTTTCACTTTTGGAATATCCTTACACACTAAAATGTTAGTGAAAGTGCTTTAGATGCATAACCTCTAAGCTAGCGTCAAAAAATGTAACACATATTTCATGATTTTATAAATCAGCGGCAAAACTAACTGGCAAAGATAAGCTTTACTTTTGACCAAAGTGAAACAAGTCCGTGCGTTTTCTATATCCCATTTTGTTGTCTTTTGTACAATCTTCATACTACAGTATGTTTATAAAATATCTGATTTTATATTTTGAGCTCGTGATTGAAATTAAGTCCCCTTTTCGGCATCATTGTTATATTTCTACTGGTACCTTTTTTCCAATTTTGCGGCTTTCTTATACATGTTCAGATCACTTTTTTTGGTAAAATTGAACGATATGGGTTTCATAAAATATACAAACATTGTAGTACGATTTTTTATGTGGGACTTGGCCTTTTTTATAGGTATAATATTGTCATAATAAAAAAAAGCTGCACGAGTTTTCATCTAGGTGTTATATTGAACAGTATACATGTCTTTTGCCCACCGGCAACATACAATTTTCAAAAGAATCATTTGGTCAAATTCTCGAAGAAATACCCTTATTATATTGTCTTTAGTAGTTGCCCAAGTTTATCTTGTACAATTTTATCCAAAAATTCTGAAATCTATATGTTTATATATTACAGAATCCATGTATTAAAAGTGCGTATCTAGTGCTGTAGCGTATACATTGAATCTATGTTCATATTGTAACATAGATTTAAGTTTATACGCTGTACGTTACCTCTATAACATCGTATAGATTTGTAGTATACCTAAAACCTTGTTAATATAGCATAAATGTAAACTTTTTCTTACTTTCAATGTGTAGAAATGAAAACCGAGGGTTGCATTGGCAAAGTTTAGTGTTACCGAATCCAAGCATGTGGGAAGATTGTAGTTTTTTTTATTCCAAACTATGAATTCTTAACATATAGTCATGAATTCCTCTAAAGAATTTCAAAATATTCCCAATTTATGAAATACCTTTGTTTTAATTACAAGCTTCTGGATTGTTTCGTTCGCTCTGTGAGCTTGGGTTCCAAGCTTGGCCGCCATCTTGATTCTACCAGCGATGGTCTTTTGCATTATACGTCGTCAGATTTTTAAAACACGTTATCTTTTTATCCTGCTTAGTGTACGTACTTCTATTCGTCAAATTTTCACAAATACGTGTTTCCCAATACACAGGAATAGTTATCAAGATACTACGGGCTTCAATGGTGGGTAAAAATCGAGAGAAACCGCCTTGACATCTGGTAGACCAAGATTATATTGTGGTGGCGCCATGAAGGCAGAATGGCGAACTCCCAGCGATACCCAGATATCCAGAGGCGCCAAAAACACAGCGATTTTCCCTCCAAATATATTTCTCGGTGTATCCCGCTAATTTTCCACTTAAGCCCGTGAAAAATGAGCGAGGTTGTGCGTTGAAAACCGTGCGATGTAACGCGTCGTTCGTACTCAGCGAGGGGGAGAAAACTGTGTTACACAGGGAAAATTTTAGCGTGTGGTGTTTTGATACAGACCAGGCCGACATTTTACGGCTTCTTTCATTCCGAATTTCACACCAACTGTACTTTATCTTTTTCAAGGTTTTCTGCAAAGTCAGTATGACCCTTAATGTTTACAAACCTTTATATCCGACCTTGCGTTTGACAAGTCTTCTTAGTTGACTTGTGTTGCCTAACATTGCATATAACTCAATCGTCATTCAAATATATACACATTTACAGCACTTGCTTGCTACACATTAGCGTGTTCTATACTTCTATTTTCGTTTCATTCAATGATGAATATGTTAAAAAAAAACGAAATTCCGCAAGTTTTAAAAAATTACAAGCAAACTGTGTTCCGTTTTCGTACTCATGGTTACCTATGGTTACATCTTTCCAATAGCATAATCATGATTTTTACAAAATGTAAACTAAACTGCATACTTTTATAAATGTAACAAACATACTTCTTTGTGCCTGTGCGCACAGAATGTGGTTCTCTACGTGTTTATATAATAACATCGAGAAAGAAGCTTGTTTCAATTCCGCGCACATGTTTTCTCTACAATGTGTCTGAGAGATAAAACAAAATTCTTATCCTTTCCGTGCATTGATATACATCACAGGTGAGGGTAATGTTATCTTAGCTTTTATGTGACTACACTGAAGGATCTAAATCCTATGTTAAGGAAAGCTCTGGAGAGTCTTTCTAATAACATTGCTAGCCTAGGCGTTACAACTTAACAGTAATATCTGTTCTGTGGATTTTCTCTCAATCCAGTTTCCTTGCTGTAAAAACCTGAATTTTTCCCCTAGATTCACTCACTTGTATATCAGCACAGTTCTCTACCAAGATAACAGAATGTCAGAAATGCAAACTTAAAAGAAACGTATAACGAAAGATACGTTAATATCTTTAATAAAAATATGTATGAATCTCACACAGTGTAAAGGATACGTTTAAAAACAACATTTTTCATTTTGTTTATCTATAGATGATCTATATGTGCAGATGTGACACTAGGAATTTCGGCACATGAGTGTTTGTTTCAGGCAAGATTTTAGATCAAGAAATAGTTTATTCTTTTCGAGAAAAAGTGCAGCTAGAAAAGTGCTAACATAATATATATGACGAAGGGTGTATTATACCGAAAGAAATATGATTGACAAACTTATAATCATAACCTATTAAAAGTAAAGAGCGCTACTGTATTGGACTTGTGGTGAAGTGTATTGTATTATATATTTCTTGTGACAGTTGCGTTATAGCACGAATACTTTCTAATCTGACTTCTCATTATTTTGCTACGGATTTTCCTTCCGAAATACTTAATATAGCAAAAATACAATCTGAAATAAACTAAAATAGAACAATAAATAGAAATATACATTGTCAATTTTTTCTGTGCTCCAGTGTTTTTGCCTCTTATAAATGTTGAGGTCTATATTCGGTGCTTTTGTATACTAGTCAGGAAGAAAAAAATACTATATGATTTTACTATTCATAACAGGACATATTGTTTCTAAAATCTTTATTTATCATGTATCAAAACATAAATTCCACTCAAACCGCACACAGGAAATGTTAAAAATAAAAAGTAACTTTGCTTTAAGAGTTGTTGGTAAAAACGCACGAAAACAACAATAATACATAACCAACCATAAAATAAATCATTGTGTTACGCATTGCAGAAATTGTTCTAAAAATGCTCCATATTATAAAGATTTCAAATATTCTTCATTTAAAAAGATACGAGACCGCTTGAAGAGATAGATACACAAATTACAAATACTGATATGTCCCCAAAACTTGTATCTCCAATTTTTCGTATAGTTACCACTCAATTTTCTTAGAAATAGTACATTTTGTATTTTGTATACACATATCATAGGAACTTCTGACATATCTATTACCTACGTGGATCAGAAATACTAAATTCGTGTTTGTGCTCCACTTTTTCCAATCACCAAAAGTGTAGGAAAAAAAACATTTTTCAGATCCTTTTTAATCTACAACCCACCTTCACACGTACCAATTTCCCATGCAGCAATATTGTCGTCCTTGGCTGAGTACCACGAATAATATTTGCGAAATTTTTCCCGGAAATATAAGTTAGATTGAAACGTGTGAGTTAGTAGTTTGGAATAGCGTGTATGATCTACGATTCTTGGCGAGAGACGTTATAAAGAACTCCTGTTAAAATTGCGGTGTTCGTCGTAGGTATCAATCAAACGAGTTGCCTTCCCTTTTCCTCCAAAGTTCATTCGCAAAAGTTCACGTATCCAAGTTGGAAACTATATTACCAGAGCCTACTACACACTATTACGTACAAGTTGTCACCAATGGTATACTCTACTCTACTCTACTCTAAAGCTTTAAAAAGAGTTTTGTCGAAAACATTTGTCCTAAACTACAGTAAGTTGAAATAACTTCTCTAAGAATTATCAGCAAGTTTCTATGAAACATTTATGTTGATCCTGATTTTTTCAAAATGACATGAGCCATTTTCCAGTCAGACATCTTTCCATGATTTTTTGTGGTCCTTTGGCAAAATCCACTCCCTGAAAAATAAGAAAATACAACATTTTTTCAGCTTATACATAAAATAAATCTATAGCTATTACTTTCCGAATGCGACTATGGCACACCATACATTAAGACCTTTTTGTTAGACCTGTCTTTTCCAATCTTCCTTAGAAAAATCCCTACAATTCTTCTAATTCCCAAGCAATCTTCTTCCAATTTTCCCGGCTTGTACGGGGCCCTCCTACCCTTCCACCACACTAATCCTAACATAATAACGACTTGATCCTTCTCATAATTCACTCGCAAAATCCTTCTACAACGACTTGGACGGAGAAAGAAAAAAAACAAGCCTTTCTAAATTGAAATCGCCGCAGTTGGGTCGGAAAAACGCTATGTGTTTGTAGTTATACGTACCTCTTGTTCCCTTGGCCAGTGTGTACGAAATCTACCCTGGTCTCTGACAGAAGGGAGACCTCTCTCTTTCTTTTCTTGGATCGATTTCTGCTGAAACAAGCAAGATGGCATCGGGTCAAGTACTATCACATTCGTCCTTTTGCATTATTTATCTGCGGTCTCTTAGCAAATGCCTTTATAACTGCTGTATTTGATTATGCTTTCAAAGTTCATTCGCTTGTCAACTTGCTGTCACTTTGGTGCACTAAAGCGATCATGTATGAAGTCCACCTGCAGTTTTTTTAATGGGAATGTCCTTTCCTTTTTTATTGAATTGGGAATTTCTCTAACCCAGAGTAATATACCAGCAAAGGTTCTAAACAGTAGGACAGAGGGCTCTACCTTATTGGTATTAACGGGGAGCCAATTTGCTTCTATAAATCGATGTAATATTTCAAAATTTCATATCCATTTTTACATTAACAACGCAAGAGTCGCTTATCTGAAAAAAAAGATTTTTTCACTAATAAAATAACCTACGGTATCATATCACAACTGCGTACTGAACTTTTGAACTTTGGCGATCTTTTTCGGAGAGACTGTTTATAAAGTCTGACAAGTTGGGGTTAGGAGAAGTCAAATATCTTTCCAAGCGGGCAGCATGGCTGATGGCCTCTTTGATGAAATCTCCCTGACTTTTGCACAGGGCAGGGTCGAAATCGACAACTGACGACCCAATACATTTCGCCCAAGGAAATTGACATCCGTAACAATCGCGCTCTTCGCACGTCTTCTCAGGAAATAACCACCCAAATTGACGCTCGGAATATTTTTCTTTTCAAAACGACACCGTTAAACGATTCTAAATCTATCTCTTTTTTGCTGTTTCGACTTTTTTTTTGTTCTCTTCGTACGTGAAACTGTGGCGGGTCAGTGAAAGGATAAGAAGTTGTTTGGAGTGATATATAGACAAATTTGTGCGGGTTTAGGAACTGGATCAAATAATAAAAGTGTGCGAAGCGCAACAAATACAAAAGTAATGATAGCTGGTGTCGCCCTGTACCCATTTTCATCTGTCATAGCGAGCGCGGCGTCCGTCCTACTCTCAACACAGGATTTGGCGGCCATCTAAAATTGCCCGGCATGATTTTAGCACCCTGATATTGACCATCGTAGCTCATGCCACCAGAGGCAATCTTTCTTCAGCTACTTCAGTGCTGTTTCCCTTCTCTGATCTAAGAGTTTCGAGCCTCTGCGCTCCTCCAATTGATTGCATTTAAATTCCTTACTTTCAAGTCAAGCTCTCCTGTCGCTGCGGCGGGGTGAAAAATCAATTTTTACACGTCGGGCCACCACAATTTCGACTTAATTGTTCATTTACGTCCGAGCTTCGCGCGAAAGTTCTCTCGCAGCCCATATTTCGATTTCTACTATTCCCTTCTACGCGGCATTAATTAGACTGACCTTTGTGTGAACTCTCTCCATCCTAAACACTGTCTAGGGCGAGTCATTATTTTCAATCTCGCCCCAATCCCTACGGAACGGATTGTGGCTATACCTTAACAACCTCTATCGATAAACGGAAAAAATCAGCCCAGGACACGCATAAATATCCAGCTGCCGACAAAGTAGTTGGAATGGACATCTTTTCGATTTTCTCATTATCTCTCCTTTCCTTAAACCTTTCCTCTTCGCGGGGTGAATCTATAAAACAACCCCGCATTGCCCATGCGCGCAGGTGGGTTCATAAGGTTACTTCACCTGTATACTCCTCACCCCCACCTCGAGATGAAATTAATTGTAGGAAACGAAATCGATACAAAATTTATATGTGGGTCTTCGCTCAGGGTCGACCCTAATTTGCACTTTATTATGAGTTGATGTGAGCGGAGCTCCATCTATCACAGAGACGTGTCCCGGCGATGGTTAGATCTGTCCACGAGCGCTGCGCTGAACTCCGAGAGAAAATGTCAGTGTTCAAAGGTCCTTGGCTGGTGGCGGGGGCAGGAGAAGATTGATGCCGCTTGTGGCTGGCTCCCTGACCCCGGAACAGATAAACAGCGATACCGCTCCCAGTCAGGAGCCTAGCGCTGACTACCCACTACACAAGCCAAAAACGAACCATCTCACAACAGCGTAACCCTTCTCACAACCGTCACTTCTTTGTTTTTCACAAATTTTATGTATGTACATCTCCATATTACTACTCTACGCAAATAAATACACACATTACATTTCTTCTATTGCTTTAATGTAATTTTCCCCAATATCTTCTCAAAAATTGTGATAATAACTTGTTTAAAAGCTTTGTATTGACATCCTAGGTTCGTTGGTAAAAGTCTTGCCAAGTAGTTCGTTGGGTTAGAAAAGTTGTTTTGGGTCACATGTTACAACGGCCTTCGGAAATACTATATATGACGATTGTACCCAACTAGGTGAAAGGTCAGCTAGATCACATTACGTTTTACAGTTAGTGGAACGATTGGTTCACTCGTAAAACTTCTTAATTGAATCTCTTCATCCTTGAACGCCATTTGATGACAAGTTTTGGTGCAGAACACTTGAGTAGAGGTCCTTGTCTCGTCCGAACATGGTTAACTTGCCTAAACTCGTTGTTTTTGTAACCAACTACTAACTGTCGAGGTGTTTGAATCCGTAGTCGTCTCTTCACCACTTCGTTGTGTTGTATAAGGTTTGTGTGGATTTTTCACTTTTTGTGTGAGTTTTAGCACTTAAATTTAACACATATAGTACAAGAAAAGCTGTGTGGTGCTTGCTTTTAACCTTGTTGTTGTTGTTCTTTTTCTATGGTGTTATTTGGTGCCAGGCTAGTACCTATGACTTATATACTACCGCCCCAAATTGTGTTTTTCCTAATTTTCAAAGACAACGAAAACTTCACTTACTTGTAGTATTTAACCGAGCTAAACTATAATTCCTTGATATTGTACTTATCATGTTTCGTTGTAAAACATCGTGTTTTTGTTTGTGTCTAATTTTTGGTTGAATTGAAGTGTTGTTTCGATCTAGCGAGTGTTGAAGTCAACACTCTTGTTTACGAGTGAATTTTGTTCGCTTCAATATGGTAGACAGCGCCATATTTCTTCATGAAAATGCTTCTCTATCGCTAGCTGTTTTTAAAGCTTGAATTTTCATGTCGATTCTAGTGTTACTTTCGTTGGAGTTTGTTCGGCTATACTACTAGTATGAACTTATTTCTTTGATTTGATGAAATCTTTGTTACAGACACATCCTATAAACTAAACATCATTTTGTCACCACACTACAATGTATTGGATTCAAAAATTGAAAAAGAAAAGTAAAACTCTGAACTAAACAAAGCTAACTTTTGTATCCTACAACCTCGAAGCAGTACACCCTAAAATTGCGCTGTACGTAAATTTCCACTGTACATTTTTGCACGTTCTATCAACTTTTTCTTGCCTTCAACGGTCACTCACACTATGTGTACATCTTGTTTCTTACAACACAAGTCTCTGTTTTGCAGTTGGAGTTGTATGTGTAAACTCAAAGTGTGAAAGAACTTGTCAAATTTCACAGTATTTTATACATTTCTTCTGAAACGTAAATTTCGCAGTTATTCGACTAAAGCTTTGAAAACACCCAACAAAAATGTATGCCTGACACCAAAGTACGACTAAAAAGACCCTCTGCAAAACAACAGCAACAAAACAAAAATACCTTAAACTTACTTGTCTAAAAAAATGAATGCCCTGCTATTTGTTAGTGTTACAACAAGAAGATTTGTTAAAAACCCCATACAGTTTACTAGATACTTGTCTAAAACATGTGGGTGATTCTAGTAAGAATTTCAGCTATAAAAATAGCATTTTCTTTGACATTAACTCTTTCTCAATCTTTCTCACTTAGATGTAAGACAACCTATATTGCTTGACACACTTTGTATAGTAGGTTCACATTGTAAATATAAATTCCATTTAACGGGCGAATAAAAAACAGACTAACGCACTCTTACAACATACTTACAAGTGATTGATTTTGTCCATTGACCACATTTAGCCTCACCAACACATCAAGGGCATGTCAGCAAGTTTGTGTCACTGAAACATGGCAAAAAAACGTTTTGAAATTCACCATCTTTTTACTTTTTTTTTTAGTTGGGGCAGAAAAATGTTTTAAAGAGTTGTACGTGTTATTTTGAGAAAAGTTGCATGCTCGAAAACGTGAAACCTGTTCTGTGTATGTGATAATGTTTGGTTGGTGTGACAGTTTTGCAAGAGTTATGTTCAAAGTCACTCACGACCAAGAACTAATTTGTGTGTACATTTGATAACCTTTCACCACCTCTTGTGCATATTACTATCAACAACCTGTGTATCAAAACTTGTGTCTTATAATACCAACGACAAGTAAGTTTCTATTTTTGTTGTTTTCTTGTATGCAGTTACCAAAATACCCAGTGTAATTTTTGTCACTTCAGTTGGGTGTCAAAACTACATTTTTGTGGAGTGACAGTCTTGAAAGTAAACTCGTTCTTATCAAATACTTTGTCTAGAAATGTCAATTGAAAATATTCTTTTTAAATCCAGTTTTAAAAATTGCCAGGATATCTATGTCCTTGCTATAAATGTTGTCAACAAATTTTCAGTTTTCTGTGATATAATAATAATAACCTTGATCTATGACGACAAGGTTATTTTTCTAACTTTGGTCCCCCTCGACTGCTAGTCTTAAATCATTATGTAGTTAATGAAGCTAGAGTAAGATATTTTTCAACATTAGTAGATAATGACGAAGTGCTTAATTGTTGACTTCCGTCAAGCTAATTTCTTAACATAATTACACCGTTTAGGTGATGTTGTCAGTGATATTTTTCTTTTTAATCGTGACCTTTGCTGGCGATGACTTTGACACATTTTAATCGTTCTCTTGAGAGAGTGCCGCTGTGCTACTATAGCTACCATGTTACATGTAATAACTTTTTTCCACATGCCGTGGCGTTACAATAAATTCCAAATTTCTCTTCATCAACTAGTTTTATAAAACAAAACTATTAACATTTATTTCTTAATGACAAGACAAGAATTTGGTAATCAGAGACATTTTCTCTCAGTGTGTGTGTGTAGAAACCAAACGCGATGTTTTATTTTGAAAGGTTGCGTTCTTGTGCGCTCGGCCGCCATTTTCTTTTCTGTAGAAAAAAACACACTAACTCAATCGTTATTTTGTGGCGAACACAATGCTGTATAGATTATTATATAGCCCCAAACACACGATTACAAAGCTATAGAATAAACCTTGAGTAAAAAACAGAGAAGCTCGAAGGCAAACATGTTTTATACTACTTGTAAAAATAGAAATTATACTGTAGCCAGGCGACATGTTTTGAACTAGACAACCGCCCAATCTACCTATCTTCTAGACATAACTTAGAAAATATATCAAATATTCTTAACGCAAAAGAAATAATGTATATTATGAGTCAGTAAAGCGTCAATTCAGAAACTTTTTTAACATTTTAAATGCTAAACTTGTTCATACATAAACAGATTATATATATTATTATGTTCTTGTTCTGTTTAACGCAGCCTTCATTGTTCTTCTGCTGTGTGTTGTTCGTTGTGTTAGGTTGTCTCAGTTAACGTCTGGTGTGTTTTCCTTTAATTTTCTCCCTGACAGAGAGTGTCAAAAGTCGTCTGGTCCCTGCTACCCGCTGTATAGAAAAACTGAAAGGGACCGCCTGACTCCGACTGAGTCCGAGCTTGGATCGTTTCCAAAGTCCCCTGTAAGCCCAAATTAACCCGTCTGGGCACCGGATTTTACTCGTAAACATCGCTCTACGTTCCCTGCCTGGGTTCAAAACCGTTTTATGTACTTTTACAGAGGGGATGAAACGTATAAATCTACAAGAATCCGTGTAAATTTCTCGCCATGCTTTGAGTCTTTTTAAAACCGAGTCTGTGACATGGTTTATTGTTGTATCTCTGCTAAAACCACCGAACATGAAATCCTTCTAAAAAAAACTTCACACAAGAACAAAATAATCCTCCCAGCTATATTCGCACTGGGTACTGAAAAAACATTTTTGAAAGAGACAGCGACTAGTCTGTGAGAGGAAAATGACACATAATTGTCCCAGCTATCATTTTTAATAGGCGGTCAGAGTGGTGAAAATTGCAGGTGCAATATAGCAACTAGTCCATTTCTTCTTCTCGGGAACAAAAGATTTTGCCTCAAGGTTTTACCGAATTTTCACACCTTGAAGAATTCTTGTTGGAACACCTGGCCTAAGTGTAAAGATCTCCCACGGCAAGAGTTTTGGCAGATTTATAACTTATTGCCAAGGAACGCTGTGTGTTTGGGATGGCTTTTCTAACGTCTTTTGTTTCACCCAGAACGAACTTTACTTCTAGAGCGTAGCCCCTGAGCTAATGAAAACTATACATGTATCAAGTGAACACAGATGTTGGCACCAAGTACACATTTTCTCAACTAAACTTATACTCTCTGATAAAAAAGCCCAAACGCACAACCAAAAAGTGGCCGAAAAGAATAGAAAGCAATCTTTCATTTCAGCACATATTATGGCAAAACACACAGAATATTATGATAAAAATTCACAGATATGGGCAAGAACTACAGATTTTCTCAACTAAACTCAAATTGATAACATATACCCTCACATAGATAGAAAGGCCCAAACGCACAACAACAAAGTGGCCGAAAAGAATAGAAAGCAATCTTTCATTTCAGCACGTATTATAGCAAAACACACAGAATATTATGATAAAAATTCACAGATATGGGCAAGAACTACAGATTTTCTCAACTAAACTCAAACTCATGGATACGATTTACTCTCACATAGAAAGGCCCAGACGCACAACAAAAAAGTGGACGAAAAGAACAGAAAGCAATCTTTCATTTCAGCACATATTATTGCAAAGCACGCAGAATATTCTCATAAACATTCATCTTTTAAAAACATAACAAATCATGTAGTAGTGCTTTTTTAAAACACACTATTTCAAATCTAGCAATAGTAGTATTGACAAACATGATAACCGACAAACATATGCTACATGTGATGCTCCTATTTGTTGTAAACGCCTAGTATACATTACAATTCTACCTCTTTGTCAATAGAAATCAGATATGTGTACTTCCGTAAGGTGTAAGGTTCAATATTGTGTCAATATTAACTATATGTAAAAGTTAAAAGCCACCGCAGTTACAAAAACAATGGTATTCTATAGAAACAAACAAAAAAACATTAGGTAATTTTTTAAAAGTTTTATTCAAAACAATGTAGCTTGCTACGAGTATACACGACATAAAGATACAAATACAAAACCTTTGACTATAGAATCTACAATGTATTGTCAGCTATTCTATGAAGCACATTAATACATGTAGCGATGCTGATGTACACATAACACAAAACACGTTTACACATACCACAATTTAAGTGATTTTACGTCCACCTAAAATTTTTCGAGCCTTTTTTTAAACAACTAGAATGTTGAAAACAACAGTACAATTCAAAACGCACAATAAAAAAGTCAAAAGGCTAAAACAACTGTTAGACGCACGGCCGTTCAACTATATACAGTATAATATTATATATTTATGTCAAGAAGGTCAAATGACAACCTATTATAGTGTAGAAACGTATTGTGAACGTGTAATATCAATATAGTGCAAGTTACAAATTACACATTTTTATATAAAACATATTCTATCTGGAAACTTAGGTGCGTATACTTAGTATATGGACACAAAAACACGATAGAATATACCATTTCTATTCCCACATATATTAAATAAATAATGATGAGGATGATTTCAACATAACTGCCTTAGTAAGTGTAAATCGATATACAAAATGCAGTTATGTTTTTACAGCGTATATTTCTTTATCTGTCTATCTTTCATACCAACACAGTAGGGGCATGTAGCGAGATAGGGCAGATAATACTAAATTCTGACTATGTTGACACAACAAATCTTGCAATCAATTACTGAAATACCACTGTCTGAAGTAAACAAGTTAAATATTGTCTCTAGACGATAAAAATCATTGAGGTTCGTTCCTGGCCAAACGTGTTCATAAAAGCATAATGTTTTATTGAAATTTATAGATACAAGTTACTGTTTTTTATTCATGTTAGTGCCTTGCACATGGCGAATATAAACTAACACATCATACTGTGCCTGCGTAGTACGCTACATACCATGCTTTCTACTGCAGTTTTGCTGAATTCCATTTAAATTACTCAATTGCAACTCTGCAAAATATGACAACATTCATGGACAGTTCCAATTGTCTGAAAAATTATAATTGAAGGATATATTTCGCCCCATGGCGTGAGATAAATTCTCAACATCCTCATATAGGAACAGAAATTTTCTGATATCGTTATAACATTATCTGACATTGGATACCAACCCGTATTTTTTGTACAATGTATATGTACGAGATCTGTGTGTGTATATATATGGAGCCATGAGAAAGAGTAAAATCGCAAGTATGATGAGGGTTATTTTATGAATAGTTGTCCCGAAATTGTTGCATGACGCGGAAATATTGAACGATTGTTCAATGATTTTTCGAAAGGTGAAAAAAAGGTCACGCAATCCTACTTCGTGATCGTGCTCACGCTCCTAGACAAAGTGTGAATTCTCCTAAACAAAATCTAGTCAGTTGACTTCTCTCTAGGTGCGTAATGCGATCGGCTTTCTGACGTGAGAGTTGAAATTTCAAAGGATGTAATTGACACAACCCGTGCCTGCGTGCGTTTTCCTCTATTCACCCGTCTGTCGTTTTGAAATGCCAGCCTGTGTCAGTCGGGGGCTCTCGCACGGCGGGCTTTTGCTGGCGCCAAATCGAACGGAAAAATAGCGAGAATAACAGTTTTGTGATGATGAATGTCAGGAGAAATTCTGTCACTCAATTGTGCGGCCTGTCACTGTCTAAAAGGGCACGACAGTGTCTGTCTTGTACTCTGAGGCTTGCACGAGAGGAACGCGTCAGTTTTTCTGAGCGCGGCTCTAAAAACGGGGTATAGCTTTCATTCTGTAGACTTCTCTCACAAGCTAAAATAACATGGCAAAACTTCATCATACCATCGAATTTTACCACGGAAAACGCTCTATAAATGATCTACCGTGTCCTGAAAACTAGTTAGAACAGATGCTATGTTTACATGATTTTTAATATTTCTCATATCGTTAAAATTGCGGGCCCGTGACCCAAAGGGTAGCTCCCAGGCGCCTCTGGGTGAATGGTGTCAGTTTCAGAGTTCTAACTTGTCAGTTACCTTAACGGAATCCTTTCCTTATGCGGCACGCACAGGCTTGTTTCACAAACAAACCCGAGAACCTGTAAAAGTCTTGGCTATCTTTGTCTGTAACGTTTGTTCCAACCGGATGTGTTGTCTTATTCTCACAGACCCAAAACACTCCTGAAAACAAACCCTTACAAATATTCCATCCCCACTCTCCCTCTCTCCCACTGACTGTTGAAAAGAGGCCAGCTTCTTTTAACATTTCAAAGAGCACGATAAAGCTAAGGGTGGTTGCGAGTGTAGTTTTAACGAGCTCATTTATTGCATCGCAAACTAAATGTAGGTCAGAACCATTAATTTTCTAGAAATACGGTTGTCATGTGAGACAGGAATGGCGCTGCCAATGTTTTTCCCAGCGGACCCTGAAACCTCGCCCCTGCCTTATCTCAAAAATCCGCCCGGCATTCGCCGCTGACCACGTAGCCATGTCCAATTTTCCGCGGAGAAAAATTAGGGGTGAACCTTGTTAAAAATCATGGTCATTTATGGCGCGAAGCGAAGGTAGATAGCTATCGTACCGACGCGCGTGTTCACCGGGAAAGACATCATAGTTTATAGGGGTGCCTGCGGCGACTCACTCCTACAATATCAGCCAGTGTTACAGAAAGGTTAGTTTCCTCAGAATATGCGCATCGTTTTCACACACGCCGTACTATATAGGGTTCAGTCAGAACGTTGTAGCTTTGATGTAAACAGAGAGATAATAAACAAGCAGAGTGCGCGGCAGCCTGTAGGGGGCGCTACGCGGTAGTACGGACCGCCAGATGCCGTGCCGTGACCTCCCCGCGACTCCAGCACCGCGACGTCCAAAACTCTCCCGCACACCATTTTTCCTTCCCGCTCGTTTACGAACTCCATTCATTACCTCCACGGCGCCCTTACCTTCCGCATAAACACAACACGACATACGGTGTACACGCGTTCTTTTTTACCGTGTAGAAAAAAAACACGTTCTTACTACGAAAACATACGTGTTCTCGACTTATTTTACTCCTACTACACACAGTCTTGTTTCTTGCGGTGTGAGAGAGGTTTTCGCTGCAGTGTGGGACCTGTCTCGGTGTTGGAGAAAGAACAGAAAGAAGTCTGACACCTGTGAAATTGATTTCTACATGAAATTGAATATCGTAGCTTTAATTTTCGCTGGGGTGAAAGGGACAGGGTCAATGGTGTGTGTTGTGTGTGTGTCGATAGCTGACGCGTCGTGGAGCGTGAGGGAAAACGGCCGTGTTTTGGTAAGTCGGCCGTGGCGGGGTGCTGGGAGGGGTGAGGACGAGGGCAGGCGGCGGACGGGCGCGCGCAGGCCGTGTTGTTTACCTGGACATGACCCATCGTAAAATATTTCATCTTCATGAGAATGAGGGAGGGTAGTGAGGCGTGAATATTACTCTGTGGCTATTGTCGGGGGATGTTTTATGGGCATTGCACGGACTGCCATTGGTGGACGCCGGTCATCTGATCGCGTCATTTCTCTTGTCATTTACAGATAAGTGGTTGGAGGCATATCAGATTCACTCCCAAATCGTCAACAAATCGAGCTCGGACGTAAGCACGTCTAACTACACTACTACTACTACCACTACTACTACTACCACTACTACACCATCGTCGGACCACGCCGCCGCCATATCCAATGAGCTCGTATTTTGTGAACTCCTTTGCCGGTAACTTACAAAACGGGGGCGACTCGTACCCGGCAGGTCAGGGCTACCCTGTCCGGTACGACCCCATGCGGCAGTATCCGACCCCGTACGGCCCGCCCGAGAGGTTCCCTGTGTACTCGACCGGGGACGGGACCCTGTACGGGGCGCAGCAAGGTGCCTATACGGACCCCATCAAGCACGAGGCCGCCCTAGCCAGCCACCATCTACCTCAATACAGCAGCTGTAAGCTCCAGGCGAATAGCCCGTCGCCGCTGTCCTCGGCACAGGGCAGTCCTGGGTCTACAGTCGGCGCCCAGCTGCCCCAGCCCACACCGCCAGTCTTTCCATGGATGCGGAAGGGCAGTTCTCAATCTGGTAAGTACCCTCTCTCTCTATCCTCCCTCGGACAATGGCCTCTGGTCCCGTAGGCTATACTCTAATGACCTGCCCCTTCTGTGAACCACGAAAAAACAAAACGACCCGCTTGCAGAAAAAAAAACTACTACCACCACGGCAGGACCTAGTGAGGTTACGGCGAGGTCGGGTCACAATGTCAAATGTTTTTATCGACGTCGTAGTGTGCTCGCTGTTAGTTCTAACAATGCAGGCTACCGTTTTGTGGCACTAAACGGACCATAATGGCCCCTACACGAGCAAGCCCAACTTCTGACAGATTTATAATACTCGGCATGAAATGTGAACTCTAGGGTTGAGTATAACAGGATGTAATTCGGTGGCTGAGCGTTCAATTTTTAGGGTCAGGACAACAATAGATAGTGTAGTCCACATGGTACCATGCGTGTGTCAGTAGTGGGTTTTTTAAAGAATTATCTCGCAGAAAATCTACGTTCAGTGTACAATTCTGATCAGATGAATGAATGAGGTTTTAATGTGTATATTTTTTCCTGTATTTTTATAAACAGCGATGGGGGAAGAGAAGAAGAGGGGACGACAGACGTATACCCGCTACCAGACCCTGGAGTTGGAGAAGGAATTCCACTTTAACAAGTACCTGACACGAAAGCGACGCATCGAGATCGCGCATTTGCTGGGCTTGACGGAGCGACAGATCAAGATCTGGTTCCAGAACCGCCGGATGAAATGGAAGAAGGAAAACAAGATCCCTTCCCTCAACGCAACTACCATCAACCAACTAACCAACATGAACAGCCACAACAATGGAGTAAACTCGGACTCTGACAAAGAGAGGGACATAAAATAGTACAAAGCCGCTTGCGTGTTCTCTCTCACTCGACCAATGACAACAGAATTTTCCGCACAAGTGCAAAGTGCAAAAAATGTATACCTCACCTTCATCAAAGAAATATTAGGGCTGTTTTAAGAGAATTTTTGTCAAACGTACCGTCCGAAAATATGCAACTTGTCCGAATAATATGTTTTATGTGTGTATAATTTGCACTGAGATTTTGCACTGTGACCAAAAACTAATATTAATTTCTCTATACAATTTTTAATACTATTTATTAGCGATCAGGATGTTTTCTTTATTATACGGGTATTAATATATATGTATTATGGTATTGTTTGAAAACTTAACACTGATTATCTTTGTTTTTATCGGCAGGGAGTTTGTATGTTAATGATGTAATATTAATTTTACGTTTAATGACATGTCACCAATATGAGGATACATGTGAGAATGAATTATATTTATGATCCGAATGAAAAATCTCACATTTACAATCACGTTACTACAATAATGATATAAGTGGAATAACTAGGCAAAGAAATTTGTACTGTGTTAGGAACGTATTTTGAGTAGTTGACCAAAAATTTTTTGTACTGAATTTATAGATAGCAGCATTTAGCTCGACTATTTAAGCAGATTACAAATTATGGAGGCTTAAAAAGTACAAGTTATGCCAAAATGTGAACGTTTGTATGTATATATCTATTATAAATCATGTACTTCTCAACTATCCAAAGAGCTTGGAGGTGTAAAAACCTCACTGTTCGCCAAATCTGGACACTCAGGAATATGTATTGTACTCGTTTTTGACCTATTATGTCTAGAACAACTTGAATGTGCGTCTCTTATAGAGAACTTTGACTATAGAGACAGAGAAAGGAGTCGTGAATTGGTCGGTAATTGATTGTAGCGTTGTTGACAGAATGTTTTGTGGGAGCGGTATTAAAAGTTGACAAAGGTAACCGCAAACGAAGCTGACTCTAGTGTTCTATATCTTGTCTTTTCATTGCACCTGTTACCAGTAGAGTCATCTAGTTCTGAGTGTAGTTTTTTTTATCTCTCTAGGAATTGTTCTAACATACCACTACTTGTTCAACAACCAGGATAAAATCTTGCTCCAGGAAAGACGGAATAGAGGGGCTGGGAGTGATAATTTGCTCGTGCTGTGAGATTTCGCCTTTAGGAAGAATTCTTCCCGTTTCTCTCTGCCCCTAAGACATTTTCACCCCCTATATGTGGTGTCCAGACGTTTTTTTTTCCTCTCCAGTAATGCGTATTGTAGGGTCAAGACAAAGACATAGACTTCTCAGCCCAAGATTTCACCATCTAAGGAGACTGGAAGCCAGTGGAAAAGTTTTGTAGCGGCTACAGTTATAACAAACCAGGTAGTGTGTGATTTCTCATGTTCACCCTCGATAGGGATTGGTGGTCACGTGGGGGAGGGGGGTGGACCTAAATTGTGCTGAAAGAACCGCAAAGCAGCAAATTACTACGTGATGTAAGGTCATAAGGTCAGATGGTGTTAGATCCAGCTCTTATCCTCTGCACGTGCGTTTCCAATAATGTTTCTGAGTCGTTTACGCGAGCGGGATTAGGTCCGGATTCACACTAGTTAGAATCCAGGAGAATCTGCCAGCCGTGATACCATAAAATTAGATAATCAGACCTTAATGATCATCCCTGGCTAGGCCGGTTTCTCATATGTTCTGGTTTTCAGAATCAGACTGGCTAGCTTGGTACCTGCACACATAAACACATACACGTTGTATATTTTTGTTTTGCCGCAATACGTTTCTCTTACTGCTTAAGGCCTGATAATGAGTTGGCTTGAGGAAATTTGCTATCATCTTCCTGCTTTGCCTTTTTTCTTTTTTTTTTGCCTCTAGGATCACAATATTTAGCACGGTTTAAGCCTAACCGGTGGATGGTAAGTCCAGTGCAAGTGCTTTTTTGGCATGATACGTTTTAGTGGTCTATATAAACCCTGTGGATCCGATCTTGTGTCGCTATAAAAACCGCAAGGTGGGATTGACAGGTTCATATAGAACACGATAAGCATCCCGCACGCTCGCCTGTTTCATCCACCCTCTACATTTCCACTGTCCATTTCACCGCCAAATATGGGCACCGAAAAGCCCTGAAAATGACTGCTTGGGGAGAGGAGAAGCCGTTAGGGGGTCAGGGTATGGGAAACCTCGCTAGGCGATTCACCATTTCGTTGTGTTGTTTCCTGGAGCCGAATCTGGACCTTCCCTGGAATACAAAAATACGTGAGAACACATGTGAACCCCGACAGGGTTGTGGGGAAAAAAACAACTTTTTTTCTGCAGGTGAAAAATACTCTCACCTGGATGACCCTGTGTTCACCTACCTAGGCACTTAACGGTACAGAAAGTCCCCTGGCACAACCCCCATCTACACTACATCTCAGTAAATGAAGTTGATCTCGTAAGGTCACTCTAGATTTTATGACCTTTCGCGATGGTAAGTTATAAATCACCCTACTAGCTTTTTTTTTCACCGGTCACAAGACTTGTGTGTAGCCAAACTTTCTGCAGAACTTTACCACTTTTTTTCGCGTCAAGTGTCCAAAGCGAGGGCTATCTATCGACGTTTTTAGCAGGAAGCGAGGAGTGAAGTATGGGTGCGCTTTTACCTACCACATACCATGGTGGCCTGCGGTCAAGTGGCGACAAGACGAACACACCGGCGGAGCAGTGGTAAGCCTTTCTCGTCTATTCTACACACAACTGAGAAAAGCTACAATCCTCTTCCTCCACATAAGGCCGGATTGTAGCCGACACTCCGGCTTAGGGCGTGAGTGAAAGGATATAGAAAGTACGGGAGCTGGGGATAAAATTCTTGTAGAAAACAGACTTAGAGGGTCTGCCGCCATTGATTCTAAAAGAACGAGGCTGTGATTGGTTGCTGGGGCGGGTCAGTACGCATGCACCTCGCTCATGTAAGTCCTAACCCGCTAAAAAGTCTGGATAAAGGATGCACAGGCCAATCTCATTCTCTTACACATTCTCATGCAGACTCCGTGCACCGGTACCGTCTCCCCTCGGCCTCTCCAGCCTTCTCAGCCCCGACTAGGTCGGGAGAGCGGCGGCAGCGTAGGTAGGTATGCGGCGGTACAGCGCGTGAGCTCCCGAGCACTTGAACTGCCCGCGCGCCGGTTTTTATTACCCGCCCGTAAATTGAAGCACCGTTTTACGGCCGGGAGCCGTCGGCAGTTTGGACTTGAGTTATCATGTCGTGTGGCCGGCGGTGAAGGTATTTATGCAGTAAAGTTAGGTTAGATACACGTCTAGCAATTATACGTCGTGTTGCAGGGGAGTTCTAGTGTGGGAAGTGTCTATTACGATATGTGCCAAGAATGGCTAATGGCGGCAGGTCAACATGTGTGCGCCAGCATACATCAGTCAGAGACGAGTCCGTACCCACACAGTGTCTCATGGTAATAGCTTCTCATACTCTCCCTTGTGTTGCTTACTGCCATCCGAAACCCATTGGAAACTCATCATAACCCGAGCTCCCCCGGGAAAAATCCCAGCCCTCCCCGCCACCCAACCAAAAAACCAGGCCGAAATGATAGGTTATTGAGCATAATGAGTTTCAGTTCGATCTCTGATACAGGGGAGATATATGCTCATTGGTCAGGCCGGTCACGAAGATCGTCAACAAATTCATTCCATTTTCTCGGCCGATAGGCCTGGCCCTCATAGCTGACGCGATAGGACCTTCCCCCAACCACTGCGCCTAGCCACTCCGTACGGCACACACATCTTGAGAACATCAAGACTCCTTCTCCTTTACTTCTCTTCCTCTCTCTCTGCTCCTCAGGTCTACTTCTTCACCTCCCTCCAACGTCTTGAGAGACGGAATCTGGTCCAACTCCTTCATCTGGCTTCTTCATCTTCACCAAATCTTCAAGAAAGCAGGTTCCTGAGATTTGGGTACGGTTTGTCTTCTTATCCTATCCTCTTTTTTTCCCCTTCTCCACTTTCTTTTTTTTCGTCTTTCTTGTCCCTGACGATGAAATATTTGCGTACATGTTTGTAGTCGTGTTGATTTCATGGTAGGCATGATCTTTTCTCCTTTTGGAAATTTACGCGGGAAACGATATCGACATGAATCTGTAGGTGAAAGGAGGAGTTAAACGGCGTCGTAAATTCACTTTTTATTACACCTGGCGTACATTTGTCTCATTAATAGGTAACCTGGGCACACGAATCGATGAATTCGCCACTTCATAAAAAAATCTCAGCTTCAAGAATTCTCTCTCGGTCACCGGGTATGTGTTTTTGGGTAGGTCTTAAAAACGCTAAACGGTTCATATTTAGTTCAGCGTCGCCCCCCAAGAAGAATTGATGACAAGCCTTATTGGAGTGATGCATTGAACAATTTTATCTCCCGTCTAATACCTCTGCAATCAGTTTAACTCCAAATTGGGAATTTGTGGCTGTTAATTCGCAAGAGAAGAATTTAACTTATTGGGAAATGAATTTGTAGCGCTGTGAACAGGATCATGCATAGAAGAGTGTTGGCGCCGGGGAGAATTTTCTACCTTATGTAGCATTGAGTTTCTTATTATATCTGTCAAGCTAACACCTGCGAACCGACGAAACGTCTACCTATTCCGTCCCAAGGCTTTTCTCACTGTATTTTGGCCGCTACTCCACGCTACCTCGTGAGGCTAGCCCGACCACGTTGTGAAAACGTGTAGTAAGGATAGTAAAACGCAGAAATACGAGCAGCGTTTATGGAGCCATTTTGAGTTTATTGTCACTAAAATTATAGTGTCTGCCCTCCGTCTAATATCGCCTCTCTGGTGCATCGTAAAATCCGTCTGAGTGAGCACGAGATAGTACGTACGCGCTTGTCGTAACTGATTCGCTCCCGTGCGGGCACGTAGTCAGGCCCTGGCCTCTCGCGATCGTTTCTGAAGCCCCAACGACACAAAGACTGGCAAATATAAAACGGCTGGTGCACTGGCGAACTCGATCACAACGATAAGACAGGGAGTTCTTGATAAGGTGCGATATGGTACGCTGTTTTGAAAAACGTGCTACGAGCCTTCACTATACTGAATCGAAGTGTGGGAAGGTTTCGTCAGGAAAGTTTAGTGAAGCGTTACAGGTCCCTCACGTCGAGATTGGGCTCGGGACAGGCTCTCATATGGTAGGGGGGAGAGTCCACAGACCACGAGCATGTGGTTTTGTTGTGAAAGATCGTGATAAATGGTGGCTGGTGACTGGGGCCACTTTCGACACAATACGTCCACTGGTAGTGCAGCTAAAGATTGCTGTCCTCGCCCCAGCTAGCGTTCTCGACACGTCACTCTACATTACATTGTCAAGTTCCTACTTCGACTCCCTTACCAAAAACTATCCTTTATCCTACGCTTTGGGAAGAAAAATCACATCGTAGAACAGTGATGGCTTCCGACATTCCTGTCACTAAACTTGCCCCAGGCTTTCGCTTCCAAACAGATCTCTGTTCGCTTGTATCCAACTAGACTGGTGGGAAAATGAACTTTTTTATCGTAGCTACCTCTGGAAGCAATAGAACGAAGGCAGATTTTGGTACAGGGTGTTTCATAACCAGTTAAAAAGACCGTGTCATTGTGATGTTTTAGAGCGGCGGTTTTGCTTCTGTGCTAGAGGACGGGGTAACGTGATAGCCAAAACACCAGGGCGCGGCATTTCCAGACAAACTGAGACAAAAACAGAGAGAGAAGGCGAAACGCACTGGAGTAGCGTTGGTTGTAGAGTTAGGCTGAATCGTAGTTTTACTGGTAGAGCGGCGTTTGGCTCAGATATCGATTCTGACACATCTCTCTGAGCCCGCTACCTGTAACATAGAGAGGGAGTGGTAAGGTGTTGTTTTCTGGGGGCTACAGGTGAAAGGTAGGCAGCATAACGCAGGTTGGGGCTCGAGGAAAGCCAGCCTAAACCCTTTTGTTTATTCACGTGCTGATTGTTTACCTGTGTTGTTGATTACCCTAGCTGGTCGTACGCACGAAAGTTAGTACCTGCAAGGTGTAACAAGAGCATGTGAAGCCATGTGGCGTACCGGAGTCGTAAAAAAAGACACGAGTTTACAATCATGTCTCCTGCACGCTCTTACAAGAGGGGTTACTCCCAAATTGGTTGTAAAATATAAAATACGCGCCCCGGAATCATAGCATCGGTGTTTTAATGAAGGTTCAGGCGTTCGCACTTTGTTACCAAACCGCAGAATTGCGTGGAGGGTTGTGAAGAGGCACTACGACAAGTATGATTGTGGCGGACAGGTCGCTAATTGCTTTCAAACGGTGCCGTATTTTTTATGACCGGTTTACGATGTCGTGAAATACCGCAGGCTGAGTTATGGACGCGGAAGGGGAGGCGTGCCAACCCTGACTGTACCCGAACTGCAACCGTGGACTTTCCAACAACAAACTCCGTGCCACGGCCGACCTCTCCTCTAGCACAGTAGCACCGCAGATCTATCATAGCCTGAGAAGGAAAGTCGAGTTAGGAAGGATGCATGGCAGTTTTACCTCCGTTGATTGACTTGACCGTACATTGTCGAAGAGACAGTTCCAACATGTGATTATTCTATTTAAAATGAATTTATCATCCACCGTTCCTTACTGTTTTGTCCCTGTGGGTCAGAAAAAAGCCGTACGATTGGCTGCTTTTCTCACGTGATGTCCCATTTCTTCCTTATTTGGCAGGTGTCCCGTGAAGGTGGGTGTGTGCAAGGCAAGAGCGAGACATTTGTCCAATTCATCAAACCCACTCGCAGGAAAGCGACACACGGCAAAGGCCACAAATCAACCAAAACAAATGAGCTCGTATTTTGTAAACTCGTATCCCGCACGTTATCAAAATGGCCAAGACTTCCAGGTTGGGAGCTTTTCCTCGGCTCGAAGTTCTGGGTCGGCCGGGCCGTACGGCGGGGGCTCGGCGGGGATGGAGCCGGCGGCGGCGGCGTACGACTACAGCTACAGTCGGCAGCAGCAGCAGCAGCAGGCACCACAGCAGCAGGCACAGCCGCAACAGTCCCAGCCACACCACCAGACCCAGTCCGACTGTACCCTGACACGAGGCGACACTCCGCACCAACAGCAGTCGGCATGTGCACAGTCCAGTCTAGCAGGGGGGCAGACCCAGCGCCTCACACACCTGCCCATGAGCACCCCTGCCATGAGCCCGGCTACCTGCACTTCGACCCCGAGTAGTACAGGCATGGCGGCCCATCCTGCCTCCCAGAACACGCCGAGTCCTCCCGACGTCGATCTAGAGAGCGTCGGCAGTCCTAACGCCACGGCCACGGCCACGGGCTCCGTCCAAGCCAACAACAACAATACCGCCAACAACACAGCGTCCACATCCCCCAGTAACATCCCCATGTATCCGTGGATGAGGAAAATCCACCTGAATCACTGTGAGTATGAGTCCTTTACTTCCGCGTTTCCCCCTACCACTAGCTACCACGGCACACAGACGGTCCTCACTCTCCCAGCCTCACACACTCGTGTGCGAGCAGTCTGAACTTGATAGCGTAGTTATGTCACTGTAACTTGGTTTTACGACCCTTTATTGAGCTATTAATAGAGTTATCTGCGCGAAAATGGGCCGTAGCGAGCTGTAGTTGGTCTTCGCTCTGTGATATATCCGCTTTTACGACGCCTTCCATTGGCCAATTGTTGTACAGCCTCGCCGTACTTAACCCTCGTTTGTTGGTTTGAGTGCCCCAAAAGAGCTATCTCCGACCGGCTTTATTTATCGGCCCGCTACCTTGGGGTGACGAACAGTGCAAATAATTCAAGAGTCAATGTTCCTTTCTATCCCCGGACAGGCACGCGATTTTTATCGGTAATTAAAAAGCTCGACACTCCATGACAGGCTATTTAGTGTCTCCCCACAGGCCCTCAAGGGTCTCCTTTCCAAACAGGGTCCACTGCCCTGGTCAAGCCATTCAAGCCTATACCAGTAATGTACGTCCCATACCTTCCACCACACAAACCCTAGCTCCACAACAAGAACGATCACAACTCTAACACCTTCAGACGCTGTATCTTGAGTTCTTGGTAGATCCAAGGCCGGGGGCTGCCAGACGACCAAATCTTAAACTGTCACCGTTAATTTTAATCCCTTTATTCACAGCATTTGTAACGCAGATCGTGTTCAACGAGGTGTGATAGTGGTAGGAGTATATCATTCTCTACACACACACACGTGTGTACCAAGTCCTGTCTCTTATATCACTGATATCTTTCCACTTGGCCTGTATGTCAACCTTCTTTTGAGGAGGAAAAAAATTGTCGTTCTTGCCCTTGTGTCAAAAGGTGGCCCGGTTTGACACCCCCCAGTTGATTAAAGGCATGAACAAGCCTCTAGAGTTCACAATCCTCGTAGTTTATTCCACTGAGTCAATGTCAGCGTGCGAAATGCACTCCCTAAAGTCTTCTCTCAATGTCTAGACTTGCCCAAAATGTGGTGTTGTGCATTCTTTGTCGACCTTCTTTCAGAGAACACAGACAAAACATGTCAGAGGAACCCTAACCGTACAAACTTGGAATGCTGTGTGAAACCAGACGAAAAACTTCAGACATAAACCCGTTAGGCTGGATCAAACACTCAAACACTCTTTTCTATTCCACATTTCCTCTGTGAAACCCAAGTAAGGTTCGAGATACGTGTACTACACAGTATCCAAGATAGGTGGACATTCTCTCCCCCTTTCTAAATACCCCTGAGCCCTCCTTTATATACCAAATTTTATATCCACTGATAAAATGTGAAATCAACTAAACTAAGAGTCAACAAGAAGACACCAAACTACATAAGACATTTCTTTAATATTTCGTGTATCCATAGCTATAGGATACATGATAGGACATCTGTAGGGCATCTTTTACGTGATATACTGTAACTCAAACCCTGGCTATTACAACTTTAGAATACAGCACTAGACCAGAACTGTGCCATCTTTGAGGGTGGCTTGTTGCTGCATATTTTCGTGTGTACAATAAGATAATATACTATCATATGTACCAAGAATCAGCCCTAAGCCACAGTTCCAGTCTTCTATTCCCGTTCTTACGTCCGCATATTAAAGATTATAAATGAATTTTCATATTGAGACCCAGCATGGGGTCTTAATGATTAGACATAGCTGTAGACCTATATTTTGACCCAACCCTTAGATTACTAAACCTTGAAATTATATCCCAGCCTTACTCTGAATTCTCATAATATTGAGAGCTAGCATCACTTCGTCATAGTGATCAGACACACATATGTATCAGAGAACCACGACGACCCTTAAATTACTACACCTGAGTTCAAGAGGCTGTATTAGTGATTGTATGTGAGAAGGTTTGAGAGCAAAACAAGGACACTACGTAGGGATGTAGAAAGAATAGAAATCTACAAAATACTGAGAATAATACAAGACATTTATTGTACGTTAGGCTATGTTCTTACAAGCCAAGTACAGGTGTATTGGCGAAGTAAAATTATAGTGATATTTTACTACAACTATACAGATTGAAGTGAACTACTAAGAACAGTTTTAACTCCTTCTCGCTTCTTAAGGCAGTTGTAGATGTATGAATATAGGGAGATAATAATACATAATGGTTGCTTGATTATTGCCTTTTTCTGTTGTTGTTGAACTTATACAGCCGCTGGTACGGGAGACAACAAGCGCACGCGCACAGCGTATACCCGCTACCAGACCCTGGAGTTGGAGAAGGAATTTCACTTCAACCGATATCTGACGCGGCGACGACGCATCGAGATCGCGCATGCGCTGTGCTTGACGGAGCGGCAGATCAAGATCTGGTTCCAGAACCGCCGGATGAAGTGGAAGAAAGAAAATAAACTGAAGAGTCTCTCTCAGTGTCAGCAAACTCAGGGACTGAACCCAGAACACTGAGCACTAGAACAAAAAAAGGACTAAGGTGGCGATCAGGAGGAGCAATATCGTACATCCACAGGAGTTGTTTATGTTTGTGATCCGTCTTATATCAATGTCCAGTCATTTCCTGTATTGTATATGTCCAAATGTGACCAAACGTAAACACAAAACGTGGAGAACCCGATTCTGACTATTTAAAGACTGTGTAGATATTGTAGTATATTGTGTTTTGTGTTGTTTCTGGCTGCAAAAAGAGACTATATACCTCGAGATATTTGTTTTGGCAGGGAAGAGACCCGTATACTTGTACAGTGTTTGCGTCTGGAAGAAAAAAAGTCACATACTGTTTAAAGGAGACAAAATGTGTATAGATGTTTTACGGAGAATGTGTTCCATTCTAGTAGGTGGTAAATGATAATTTCTCTCAAAAATACAAAAAAGACGACGTAGGTGGTTCACACGCGTAAATGGGACGTAAAGATTCGGTAGCTGTGCCATTTGGAGTCCGTATAGAAGACGTTATAAGTAGACGTAGTGTCTAAAGTTCTACACCTCTTGTAGGCTGGGGTCCGTTACAGGGTTAGCATCGATTCCGCTTGACAATCTGTGTCGCTTTGTACCTGTATTTGTCACGTAAAATTTAGCCGTGAGCGTGGGTTTAAAAAATGAGTGTGACGCCTTCCTTTTTTCCTGTATATTTATTATTTTTTGTACTTCAGTCCGAAGAAAAGAAAGGATTAAATGATAATATAGCCGAGAAATATTGAAATGATTCGTGCCAAGCTAAATGTGATTCCTGAAAAAAAAATCGATGCACCTCATCGTGGCTTGTAAAATTGACGGCAATAAAGAGTATTATTCTGTGAGCAAAAAAAGAAAGAAACCGAGAAATTTCTGCTTCTGCTTTCTCCTAGCTCGAGGTTTTAGCTTACTTAGAGCGGCGTGAGGTAGAATTGATGGTTGTTCCCGCCTGAGTTGATGTCCCTGATGTAAACGCACTAGCCCAGAACTGGAGACGAGCGGGGTCGTCCGTCACTCCCGTTTTCCAATACGCAAGGTCACGTCACCAGGCGGGTTCATCTAGAGTTCAGTACCACGTGACCAAACCAAGATGGCGGCTCAGGGCAACACTGGAGTGATGAATGACGGGACGGCTCGCCCCGGGAAAAACTCTCCATGTATAACACGCTAAAACTGTTGCTTCTTCTTCTTATACAGTTACATAACAGAAAATCAGTAGAATATCTTATGTGAGGAGGAATTTCAAGGAACAAAAATACGTATCATTTGCTGTATCCGTACCAAAAAGACCGTCGGATACAACTCAACCGAGGGGATACAACTTGGGTGTTGCCGTAACATTGTTATGACTAGATTGTGGGACTCTATAGCGATATAGTCCACAGTGATTTCAGGTTTTAAGTATTAAAATCTCACTAATGATGAAATGTAATAAACACAGCTTTTATGGCTCGATTATTATACTCTTTTGGCCATATTAGAAGCCCGCAGCCCTGTATCCAAGAAATACTTCTTGCCATCCAAGATATGTTTAAGCAAAATCGTAAGAAAACGACCACTTCTTCTAAAACTCTTGTCACCCACATATGAACTTAAACTTGTTTCATAACCATTTTCCTTATCTCATAGTTTCCACGTTTAAACTATTATGTGAGAATATTTCAGTGATAACATACGTTATCTGCACAACAATGCCAAGAGACATCGATATTTCCACCATCACCCGAAGCAAAAGTCAGTGAAACGCACGCATCTTCCATAAAATCTAACACATGCCTGGAGGGAAGGATTTCTTATTACCACTCTATCTACACGCACGAATTATTGTACCCAGATATGAGTCCGAGTTTGTTTTTTTTTCTATATGGCTAGAGAGGTCTCTTTCGGGTTTTGCAAAAGAAGAAAGTCTTTTCAACAGTCCGTCCCTTCAAACTTTTTAATCAAGTCTGAAGTAAAAGGAATTTACTTCATATTTAAATCCATATAACTTTTTGTCAATAATTATTGCAAAATTTGAGAATAATACACAGCTACCCATCGGACAAGAAAAAAAAGATGATACACACAATATATAGAGAGAGCGAGTTTCTGAAAGAGAATTTTCTTAGATATTTTCTTGTTCAAGTTTTAAGTTGTCTGGTAAACATTACCAATGGGCATCAGGGTCAAGGGTCAAAGAAAAGGACAATAAGAGATCTGGGTTTAAAATTTGATGTTTTAATATCATGCTCACCCGCTCAGAACTGGAATAATCTATGGATAGATCATAAGGCGTGAACTTCGCCATGTAAGCATGCGATATGACGCGTGATATTAATAAAAACGCAGGAGTGTGGCACCCTGAGGGCCGACCCAGCCCGGCCCAACTGTCGCCCATTTGACACTCGGAACATCCCCTAAAAGCGGTCATACTTACGGTCAGGGGCAAACTGTGGTCCACGTGTGTTCCTACATGTTCTCTGACGACACCTGTCCCTAAAATCCAGTCAGAACCCGACACAACGCGACATTGACACGAGAAATCGACCGACGCTGTCGCTTATCAAGCCGAATCTATCACCGTGACGACGGCATAAAGACGAAAGTTAAAACAAAATTTATAGTAGTCACTAAGTTTCTACATCTGTGGAGTCGTGCACTTGATTGGTTACATGACGTCACGTGACCAAGTTTACGATCTCGCTAACGATTTATTTGCGGGGAATAATGGCAATTATGAGACCCTCCGACGCGAAAAAATGGTTTAAAATCATAATTTATAGCGTCTGCGGACGTGAAAGTATTTTTATGACGTAAATTAGCCCAAGTCGCTTGTTTTTCGTTAGAAGGCAGTACAGGCGTGTAGTGAGGTGTGTTGTGGGGACTTCGCGGCAACTTTTCAGTCTCTGTCCGCCGGATTTTCCCAACTTGAACTCCGAGAGTTGGTGGAGAAGTTGTCGGTAAGCCTCGGCATTTTCCCATTTTCACAGAACGTGCCTCTCGGAATGAATTTCCAATGTAATATCTATTTGACACTGACAGCCGCCATTTTTGTTGGGCGTGCGACTGGCTTGGTTCTGCAGTTTTCCTCTTTTCCGTGACGACAACTAACTTCGTCCCCGCCGAAAGTGAGCAGCACAATTTCTACTTGTCCTTATTACCCGGTCGTCCAAAATCTCACGTCTCTACTTCATTACATCCTAGACCGGCTCTGCCTTTTTTTCTCCTTCCTTATGAATTTCAAATCATATCGATTTTTTTTCCGGCGAGTTCCAACCCTTTTGCAGACGGTGAGGATTTCCGAAAGGGCTGTTTTACGAGGTACGGGTATTACGCCAGCCCGCCACAGCACTAATACAGTTTGGACACGTTTTCCAAGCCAACATCGGAAAACGAATTCTTCATATCTCCTGAAATTAGGTTGGGATACCAACCGTGCTAAGCCTGCTTGGGCGAGGATAGATGACTTCATGCACCTTCGATAAGCACGACTTGTGAAATTTACGAGCTCAATCCGTTCGGCTAAATCCTTTAGCCAATTTCGGCTTTTCACGTCAACCTAGTTGATCTCTGCCGAGATTTTCTTTTTCTCTCCAATCTTTTCTTCTGGGATGGCATGACCTAATCTACTTACTTACTTTCTGGAACTAGAGCAAGAAACACTAAATCGAAGAAAAACCAGACTAGAAATAAAGAATAGGAGTCATACAAACAAGATGGTCATTTTCTAGATCTTCGCTCGGTTTTCCGTATTTTTGTTGTTATTTTTTTTCTTGAATGCATTTTCTTGTATTTTTCTGCATTTTGTAGATTATCAACTATTGGAACAGCTAACTGATGAAACAACTACATCTACAAAGCATGTAAAAGAAAGGGGGGAAACATTACAATAAATATGTTACCACAAGTTGTATCTGTAATCAACTCGTTTTGCTACATTGTAGCTGCAGAATAGAAACTACAACTTCAAAAACTAGTCACTGCTAGTACTTACTTGTTCGGTTTTTGTTTACCTCTGCAAATTAAAAGATAAAAATTCACGCAACTTCTGCTACCGTAACTATGTACGTCTTTGAAAAAAATTCAGAAAAACAACGATACAAAAAGCGACCCGACCAATTTCTCTGCTATCGTTTTTACGAAACTTACATCTTTGTCAAACTCTTAACTTGTTGACGGATATTTTTCGGAAAATGAGTTGATTTTGATTTTTCAGTGGCCGAAACAGAAGTTATGATCAGAAAACTGGGGATTTTTCCAGTGCCCGAGTTTCTTTCGCCTCCCGTAGAGCCTATTCAAATCTACATCCAAATTTACGCCAACGTTTTGACCTCTACGGTTCCTCACAAATTTAACGAAATTTAACCGCCGTTTTCTCCTCAAATTTAAAAATGTGCATAATTCGAAAGCAAAATATACGTTGGTTAGATGGGTGCAATTTTGTTGTTCGGTTTGATTCCGAATATTTTGGAAGGGAATTGCTAAACATTACACGGCTCTCAAAAGTCAGAAAATTGTATTTAGTTCTGTCGCTCCTTTTCCGTTTAGTGGTTATATATCGTGGATTGAAAAAAGGATATGATTTTAAAATCCAAACCCTCATACGAAGTCATATCTGTAAAAGATTGTTTAACATAGCAGCAATCGGTTGTCAGTGTATATGGCGAAACCTGCTTTGTAGAGAGGTCAAAAAGTTACAGAGACCAACCGCACTGAAGTTTGAAAAAACACTTTCAAGATTTTGTTGTATGTTTTTCTTACTTCAAATTCTAGCTTTTCTTTCCAAACACACACAAATTTAACACAACAAGTTTGTTTTTTACACTGCTTTGGTGGCAATTCTGACAAATACTGGATGGAAGCTGAGTTAACTTTTTGTCCCGGGTGTCGAAACGGATACGTCTAGTCTAATTTTTCGCTTTTTCCATCAGTGTAAAATACCTGGGCGTCGCAATCGCCACCGAGGACCTTTAATTGGTGGAACAATTGTTTTCTAACCGTCAATTTCCACTGCTTGTCGTTTCCACTTAGGACCTTGTCTGTGAAGAGTGGACGGTACAAGATGAGGTGGTGGTTGGTGGACAGATGTGACCAGGACTGTGACCTTACCCAGTCGTGAGTACTCGCTCTTTCCCCTTCTCTCATCCAACTCACATATTTCATCAACACTTCTTGAAAAGAGCGTGCAATTTTCGACATTTTCTTTCAGAATTTGTAATCCGAGAGGGAAAGCATCTGGGAATGAAAAAAAACACACACAAACGCTCCTTCAAAAACTCAAAAGAAATTCTTGCTGTCGAATTTTAAAAATTGTTCCGTACTGAATCGCTGTTTTGTTTACTTCGGTCAGTAACAAACGGGAATTCAACACCTAGCCAAACACTCTGCTCTACTCTACAATGAAAACACCATTCAAAAGCAAGGAAATATAATTTAAAAAACATTAAACAGTACATAACATAACACAACTGGCCGTAGGAACTACAACATTTCGGGGCAAACTTAATACATGTGAAAAATAAATGTCTACGCAGTAAACTACAAGGAGCGGCTCAAAGTGGAAGAGAACTTCCTACCGAGACGAAAGATCTACTCTACTCTACTCTACTCTAAATAAACGGATTTGTGCTGTACCCAAAAGTTTCCACTAAGATCCAAATGTTTCTAGTTATTGTTTACATTTGAAAGAAAAAAAAAACTTTGGCCTTAGCGAATCGAAATTTGGATTCTAAACACTGACTATTGTTTCCTATATGCTCCTTCCATGCTCCTATATTTCTCCTATTGTATATCTCTACTAAAACGTGGATACTGCGAGTGTAAACAACTCTACGACACCACAGGTTTGACCTCGTTCTTTACAACAAGTCTCTAGTGTGTACTCAACAGTGTTTCCCCCCCAACACGTTTAGACTCTGTTTTTATTCTCTCTTCACACTGCCCTTCACACATGACATCCCCCACCTGTAGTCCTCATCCCAAGAATTGCTCTTGACCTTCAAAGAGTCAAAGTTCACACAAACACACATGTGAACACGTGCTTAGCTTGGAAAAAAAGTAACGACGGTCTAGGAGATTACCTTGAGCTGCAAATTGCTGATTTAGATTGGATTTTTTCCAATTTTCTGAGCCAAGATTGTTGTCGGGGTTCTCATTAACACTTGTGAGTGTGTTCCTAACGACTTGATCTAATTGATGCGTTTCTTAATATTGTGGGATGTCTTCTAGAAGGTTTTGCTTTTAGCATTGTAGAACTAGGATCTGTGTGATTGCTTACTATATAGTATTTTTTTTTCTATTGGCGTATGACACTAGTTCCCCGCATTTTAAATATAATTCCAGTTTTGGGTTGTTTATAAATGCCACACTTTATTTAGAAAAGTGTCGAAAGAGTTGTGTTTTGGTTTGTGTTTTCTATTTGTAACTTTTCTGTTTATAAACAATATGTTTCTGTTGGTGGCATATTTAGTGGTCATTCGCCATTTGAGGTAATGTTGAGGTGTGTTTGTTTATTAATCAAAAACGTTGATTTGGTTGTAGTTTAGAAAAACGGTAACAACATTTAACTATACTGTGTATTGCTTGTCTTCTTATTGAACTTCTATGAGAGTACAAATAGGATGGTTGGATAGAAATGTGTAAACTCTAACACATAACTATAGTAGTAGTTCGTTCAAAAGCACATTGTAACTAACTAGCCTTCTGTCATATATATGACGTCTTTTCCAAAAGTCCTTTCTTTGAATTTTCTTTCTTTCGGTCAAATGGCTTTCTGTCAATAGCTAACAGCGATTCGTTTTGCGCGTATAGGTAGAAAACTTTCTTCATATCTCTTTTTGAGAAAAAATATTTAGAATATGACAAAAATTTTTGAAATGCACATATATTGTGTTACTTGTAATTACTAGTAAGGTCCGTAAATAGGACGATAACATTAGGGTTAAGTCACCATATTACATAGTTTATAGAATTGAACTACATATTATGCTCTTAAGTATAAAATTCTTGTAATATATACCCTCACTCAAGTTGCCAATGGCTTATACATACTTATTATTTTCAGAGTTTAAATTTCAAACTTATTTAGTACTTGACTATCCGAACTATATGTCCTTACGTATTTCCCAAATTTGTGCTCATTTCTGTAATTTGTTTTAAATAAGAGTTTGGTGTACCCTTCCGTAAGATAGCCACTCGACACTTTGCAGACGACGTGTTAGCAAGCTGGGTTTTATTATTTTATTTTTCAGCGGGGTTAGTTCCCCTGTGAACAAAGATACCCTTGTAATCTTTCCCTCTTACTCACAAGTAGAGAATGCCTGTACCATTTTGCTGTATCTCCAAGGTTGATCTCTGTAGAAAAGAAGCCAGTGTTTTCTTCCCAAGCCCGCGAGTTAAAACAAATGATCCAAGATGTTACGACGATATCTTCTCCTCAGGTTCACCTAGTATAATTTCACAGTTCATAAGAGCGTCGATAAGCATCAGAGCTCGGTAGCGGTGGGACAAAATTCTCAATCAAGCTTCAAGAGTTTTCTCGGCGAATCTAGATCCCTTTTTACCCCCGAGGAAAGACTGAAGCTA